TACGCAAAAACCGCGATAGAGTGAAGCCTCGGAAGTCGAAGCGTGAAGTGGCGAGGGTTCACTGTATAGGGTTGCTCAGTTGGCTTCTACTCCACGACAGTGAGTTTGGTGCCGGAGGGTTTGTTTGTTTTGTCCAATATTTAATTTGTTCTAGTTGTTAATATTTTCTGCTTTCTTTTCGTCTTGTTTTTCTCTGTTTTGTTTTGTTATTGTTCCTGGGCTTTTGTTGTTGTTTATATATTTTTCTGTATATGAAATCTAGAATAGGAAAATCTATAGAGAAAGTAACTGGATTAATAGTTTCTTCCTTTTTTTAATTAATCATTTTATTGGGGGGGTGTCTTACAATCTTACAAATCTTGTAATGATTCATCAAAGACTAATAGGTGGGGGGTGGGGAACAGAAATGGAAGCAATAACAATGAGTATGAGAAAGAAGAAAATGCTCTAAATTGATTGTGGTGATGACTATAACTCTTTTTAATATGATTGAACTGTTGAATTGTATGATATGGAAATCACATGCCAATAAAACTGTTTTTTAAAAAAACTTTCTGAAGCAGACCCAACAAATTTCAAGATTAAACCAAAACACACTCCCACTCAGGGTAACCCAGGCACTATAGAGTAGACCTGCATCCTAGGGTTTTCTTGGTCATAATCTTTACAAAAGCAGACCTCCAGGCCGCACTTCTGCCGATGGTGGATTTGAAACGCCAACCTTTCAGTTCGTAGTCCAACACGGCTCAGGACCCTCAATGGCTAGTTGTTTTCTTTTTTCTTCCAGAATTAGATCACCAGACCCTTTTTCTGAGGCACCCCTGATGGATTTGAACCTCCAACCTTTCAGTTAGCCGTTTAGCACAAGAAGTGCTTCCCAGATTACAAGCATCAGAAGCGGCCAGAAGATACAGACAAAGTATATCATATGTGTCATTCAGACAAGTCTAGTCTCTGAGAATAGGAGGCATCTGTCGAGATCAAGCAAACACAACAAACAGTCCTTGAACTAACTACAAGCTTTTCTTTCTTGTTGTTGTGTTTTGTTTGTATATTTTGTCATTGGTTTGTTGTTGGTGTTGTTTTGTTGTATATTGTTGCTTGGTTTAGCTCTGTCTTGTTTTTGTGCATGTTATTATCTCCACAGGTCTGCCTAAATAAGATAGGCTGGATGAACAATCTGGAGGAGAAAACAACGGGACCGACAGTTCCGGGGGGACATGGGAGAGGGGGAGG